ACTTCCAGGGATGGGGCATCCACACTTTCTCTGGGCAACCTCTGCCACTGCCTCACCACCCTCATGGTGAAGAATTTCTTCCTAATATTTAATCTAAATCTTCCCTCTTTCAGTTTAAAGCCATTGCCCCTTCTCCTATCACTCCATGGTCTTATAAAAAGTCCCTCCCCAGCTTTCTTGTAGGCCCCTTTTAGGTACTGGAAGGCTGCTATAAGATATGTATATCTTCATAATTTCTTTAAATCTTTACAAAGTATGGACTTATTTGGGCTTTTTTTTTCCATACAGTTCCATTTTACAGTTAAGTCAATTTAAACTTGGAGTATTGCCAAAAGCTCTTGTCTTGTTAGTGTCTTCCCTTGTGCTGCTGGCATTAGGGATCATTGTGTTAGAAGGTGATCCAGCTGGAAAAAACAAGTACGCTGCCCATTGTTTCTCTGAGCAGCTTTCGTCTTTGTGTTTCCTGATCCAAGCTGCTGTATGGCCTTAGGGTTGGAGGTGCTCGGGCAGGAGTGTCTGGAGGGTGAGACAGTCCATTTTCATCACAAGGAGTAGTTAAGTTGGCTTAGAGCAATTGTCAAACCACAGCGGCAACATCACTAAAGAAAGCAGTTTGGTAGGGTTCATGTAGTTGTAAATATAGAGTTCTGTAGCTGGATTGTGCCCTTTGCATCTGAAAACTCTGCCATGAAAAATAGGAAATGCATTTGTGATTGCATAGTGGCAAAAGAGTCTAAATGTTTATTTGATATACATACTGGGGCTGTGTAACTTTGATTACACTTGTTTGTTTGTTCCTTATGATCCAGGACTTCAAGATGACAGGAAGAGAGTTTCTTGAACTAGATTCTCCACAGCAAAGACTATATTTGGCAAAACTTAAGCAGATGGAAGTCATACAAAAGATGTTCAATGAGCTTCCTAAAGCAGATCAGTAAGTGCTCATAAAATAAATGAAGATAAGTGCATCAAACATTTCAAGTCTTTGGGAGGCTTTTCTTTTCCCTTGTTCTTGTATTGCAAATCTTCCTTGCAGTTATAAAAATATTTAATTGTAAAGATGCTTATTATTGTCCAGAACAGAAAACGGGTTTTGTGGTTTTTAGATATGGTTAGTTCGCTGTTATCTCTGGTCCTGCTCAGCTGGTTTCTGGCATGTACTCCCCAGTCCTTAAGATTCTGGGATGGCAGATCAGCCCTGACGGGCTCTGAGCATCCATACAGTCCTGTGCTAGAGCTAATAAATTTTCTAAGAAACTGAAATGTTGGCGAGCATAAGGCAGATACCTTTGTGCTTCTGCAGGAGTCATCTTGTGTCCAGCAGGGCTGGCCTGGGGCCAGAACTGAGGGAGCATCAACCTGCTAGTTCCTGCATTTTGTTCTGTACTGCTCCTTATTTCAGGAAGGCAAGGCTGAGGTATCCAGGTGGTGGTGGTGGACGAGGCAGCCAGAGTCCTGCAGGCTCACCGGCAAGGTTCTGTGCTGCCCAAAAACAGCTAAATGCCTTCCGAGCCTCACAAACAACCTTTATGTGTTTTGTGATTTTGCATTTCACTGCAAAACCTTACTGGACCTGAGTATCATCTCCTGTATCATCACCTATATCATCTTGGATAAATTTTGTATAAATAAGAGTAATGAGAAGCTTTTTTTTTTTTTTAATAGAACTAAATTGCTGGCTAAACAAAGTGCTGGTAGTAACACAGGGCCTCCCCACACAGGTTTTATCCTTCGCATTGCAGTTAGCGGTGCAGTTTTGTGTAGGATCTGCTGTGCTGGCACTCAACTTAGAACACTTCTTCCCCAGAAGAGCTGGGGAGCTGAGAGGGAGGCAGATGCCTCGGTGCTGATGTGGTAACATCTTGTTACAAACTGTAGTACCTGGGGACTCCTGGGCCTTGGAAAGAAATAGCTGTCAGGGTGTGCACCTTTTTTTGAAACTGTCTTGGCGGAACTTAAAAGTTTGTATATCCAGAGGGGAGGTCAGTAGTGGCTGGTAGGGAAGAGGAAGCATCCTATGGTCAGATTGAGAGAGTTCCTGCTCTCCAAAGTTCTTGTTTTCAACACTAGGGAGCTAGTATTTAAAAAAAAAAATATTTAAAAAAAACAAAACAAAACAAAACAAATCCCAAAAAACCCCCAAAAAACCCTAAAAACCCCAACCAAAACCAAAACAAAAAAACAACCCCTCCCAAAACCAACAAATCCCCTCCCCCCCGAAAAAAACCAAACAAAACCCAACCCTCCCACCCTCCCTTTCTTTCCTTTTATGCAGTCTGCCGGTTCTGTACATCAGTAAGCCTGAGTCAATTCTGCTGGTCCTGCGTACATTAATGTCCTCTATTTTGGATTCTCAAATATGCTGCTAAATTTTAATCTCTGTCCCGTACATGTATGTATATGCACACAGGCATTTCACTGCCTCTGATTTTAAATGTACTAAAAGAATGAAATGGCTGGGTTGCAGAATCTGTACTCCAGCGACATTTCTGTGAATGACATCCAGTATTGGGAGAATGATGATTTGAAAAGCAAATAGGCCCCTTTCTTTTTAAAACCCAAGAAAAGAAATATGGCTCCTAAACAAGGGCAAGAGAAATCTGACCAGTCAAGTTCTTTTGCTATATAGCATCAGAATTGAATTGTTGGTAGCTTGTTTTCATGTTTGAAAATCTGATATGTACCAGGAATGAAAGTATTCCTACTCAAAATGAGAAGTAGTTGGTGTCATTGATGTCAGATGTTTTTAATGTTTTAGGTTTTGCAGAATTAGCACCCACATCTCTGAAGCCTTTTTTTTGTATGGTTTGTCAGTTCTTAGTGTTATGCTAAGCATTAAAATCATAGAAAGGTTTGGTTGGAAGGGACCTTAAAGATGATCTAGTTCCAACCCCCCCTATCATGTGGAAGAGTTCTAAATAAGTGGATTTTTAAAAATCATGTATTTTAATTGCTAAATGGTTTAGAGATTGTCACATTTGATAATTTTGCAAATAAGTATGACATTTGACCTAGCATAAATTTTGTGACTGGTTAAGCATTTTATTTTCTTCAGGGCTTTAGCGGTAAATCCAACTTATGACGCATTTTAAGAGTACACTTTTAACATAATAATACTGGCACAGCCTCAGAATTGGAGTGCCTTCCAGTTAATTGCTTTGCCTGGCAATAGTTATCATTCCAGGAATTTTAGATTTGTGGAAACCTAAAGCAAAGAGTTGTTTCCACTAATCAACTGACTATACCAGGTATAATGCTAAAGAGAATGCACAACTTCCTTCTGCGAGTCAAATGAAATAAATCACAAACTGCTCATCAGACTTGTAAAACTGGCACGCTTTCCCATTCCCTCTCTTGTGTTACCTGCTGTGATGGAATGTACTCAAATGGCAACTGTTTGTCAAGATATTAAACGCTGACTATCTCTGACCTATCTGTTGTCTTTTGCCTTCGCCATATTACAGATTGCAACAGGAACAGCTGCTCTAAACCGCATTTTTAAACCATGGTAGATAACAGAATCCAGTCTCTCTTATCAAGGGAAAAATAGAAGCTCCAGTTCTGTAAGCCAGTATGTAACCTTTGAGTAGCGTAACCTCCTAGCAAGGTAGGACCTTAGGTTCACGTGTTCCATGCACACCAGGAAGGCTCACAGCCCTTCAGCCTACAGAATCACTACAGGTGATCTGCCAGCAGCTGCTGAGATCATTACTGCAAGATGTCAGTTGCCATAGTTGTCCCACCTGATCTGTTCTGTAAGCTCTTGCATTGAAACTAAATCCATACTTTTGGGTAAGCAGGCTAAAACAAGGCTGATTACAGGAGCTAGCTGTGGTGTTATATATATATAATTTTTATATTTTTTTTTATATATATGATTTTTTTATTATTTCTTTTGAGAAAACATTCTCCTTAGAAATGTGCTGATTAGGAGAGCAAATTTCATGAAGTTTCCATTAGCCATCATAAAAAATTTTGTAGAAGAGGCTTCCTGGCCTTTCTGTTACTTCTTCCTTGACGTGTGTGTAAACTCAGGCATTTAGCGAAGGATGTTGTACCGGTGGCTTTTGAAAGTAGTTACTCTCCATTTTGCACCAGCGAGAGATTTGCATCCCTTACCTCTTATTGTAGGATATTCAGAAGTGAATTGTAGCAGTGAGCAAACCAAACTTTTTTTACAGTTCTCAATTGCTGACACAACTTTCCTTCTTTCACAGGAACCTTTGTAATCATGGCTCATACTTCCTCGGAGCAAATTCAAGCTTATGTGGCTTAGCAGCAAATAATTTCTTCAGGAACATCCTACACGTCAGAAGGGCTTCCGTGGTGTCTGCTTTGCCGATGGCCGTTATTCCATTTCTTTCAACAGTAGCGGTTTATGAAGTTTTTGTGCGTGAGCCTTTATTTTCAGGTAAAACCCTCATTATTCCTTGTTTTTGAAAGGGCTTTGCTTTCTGTACGCAGTGTAACGCTAGAGGAGCTTTTCCTCTCTGCAGAGCAGTGGTCTTGAACTGGTGTGGTCTTGAAAAACCTGTTTGTAAAGCAGGGTTTGAAAAACAGATTATTTAATGCATTGGGCAGCTGTGAGTTCTTGAAGTTGAGTGGGAAAGGAGATACCTATGTGCATTTATATATGTTTATAAAAAAATTTGTTATGCATCACTGATTTTTAGCATTTTTCACCCAAAGTCATGTAAAAGTGACTGCAACAAAGCATTTCAGTTTCCTCCATCTGTATGATTTCATTTCAAGTTCAACTTCAGAGTGATAAATTCTTCATGGTTTGGAATGAAAGCGATTATTTTTTTGCTAAAGGAAGAGTCCTTCTTTCAAAATTTCTTGCGTACCAATACAGCTTGGCCGTTTCTGTCAAGCGCCTGTTTCTGTGTTGTTGCACACAGCTTATAAATTGGTGTGGTGGAGCCGTGTGGATATTGACGGTGAAATTCGTTTGTCACGCAGGTGAACTAAACTGTGAGGTCTGTGCTGTGGTCAGAGGAGGATTAACAGGAGCTGTTGTGGGTGGTCTCTATCCTGCTTTCCTGGCTCTCCCTGTGAACGCAAGCCTTGCAGCCAGGTACGTCTTATTAACCCACAACCAGTGAAATGTATTTGTTGGTCAAATCTTCAGTTCTTAGTTTAAATTCTGTGGATTTTTAGTCTATGCACACCTATTTTCTGGTGGGCTTTTAGTACATGGAAGAGGATTTACATTAAGGTCATCTAATTACAAGGCAAAGTTTGTAAGAGCTACACCAAGCCTCCAAAGTGAAACGAAATCTGCAAACTGATACACTGTAAAGCACTTGCGTTTAGCGGGAACCTTACAAGCTACCCATAAGGTGCCTGGGTGCGTGAAATTGCGGCTGCCGTCCTGCCAAGTGGTGAAGATTGCTGTTCAGCTGGAGGGCCGAGAGCCCGTACTCATCCTGCTCAGCGCCCAGCAGCCAAACTCCCTGGCAGGTCTAATTCTGTGTCTAGGGTCAGAGCGCAGTGAGGAGATCGCGAGACTTGGCAAGATGTTGCTATGGGGTCAGGATGTTTTATAGCGTTTATCCAGGAGCGAGCTCAGTACCCAGTACCACCAGGTGAATTTAATTTAGGAGAGGAAGGAAAGTATGAATATCTACCTAAATATTTTTTAATTACTTTAACATTAAATCTTGATGCTTAAATTGGATGGAAAAACAAAAGTAACTTTCTACCACTTTTTATGTTGTTTAGGTATTCCTCATCTCCCTTGCCAGGGAAAGAAAATCTATTGCGCTTTTGGATCACAGCTGCTCAGCCCGTCTTTAGAAAGATGAGTTTGGGTGTGCTTATACAGGCTCTAACTGGATTGTATCTTGCCACTAAACATCATGGAATATATGTCAAAATACTGCAGCAGATGAACACTAGCAGGGATCCTGAAGAGTTACAAGCATGAAGTTAAGCAACTTTTCAATTGCCTTGGATAAGTGACCATAATAAACAAAAATAAGGAAGTTGTTGCTTGCTGTCTTTTTTTTAATAGAAAAACAAAGTTACGGCTCTGCACTGGCAGGCTTTTCAGTTCTGAACTTAAATGCAATTATGTCCAGCTCTCATTTTATCTTCTATATATTTTATGCTGAATCTCAACATTACAATCTGTTCCACAGCCCCCTGCAAATGATACCCTCATCTCCCCTGCACCCACCCTAGTCCAGCTCCTGGCATCCTCCTGCTTATAGGCAACGGCAGAATTATTTCCCCAAATCTGTGTATCCCACCTAAATGGGGGGAAAAACTGTAGAATCAGCCACTCTCAATGTGCAGTTTTACACAGGGTGTTCTTTAAACACAGAGCCCATTTGAACAACTCCTATACCCAAGAGAGCCTTCAGACATTTACAGTCCAATAGCAAATACAACCCTATAAAGAGAGTATTGTTGGTTCGAGCAGAAAACCTCTTAACTACAAGCTCTAGAGAACATAATTTTTTAAAAATCAGTAAATTTAGAAAAGGCCTTTGTGTTTTGCAAAAGATCTCTTGTGTTTCACAGGGAAAACTGATTACAGTTTTGACGAGTGGCATGAGAAATCCCATAATCTGGAAGTACCAAGAGCTGCCAAGTGTTGGAATATGGCTCTCTACATTTACCTCAGTAGCATCTCTCCAGGCAGCTAGAGATTGCAGGAACACCAATTTGTTTTTCCCTCCCAGATGCTGCTAAACTCTTCAGAGGAAAGAGAGAAGTATTAATTTGGAATGCTACTAAGAGTCACAGCACTGGAATCAAACTGTAAAGGACTAACAGAGAACCAAGCATGAAATTGTTTCTTATTTAAATGCTAAATAGTCTTCATGCAACTGTGAGGTGGAGAAATACTGGAAAATGAAGGTACTATTGCCAGGCAGTTAAACATTGATGGCACTTGGTTCTGTGGTTATGTATGGTTTAACACACACAAATTTCAATACTGAACAGGGTATTTGCTACAACTGGAGGCCAAGAAGGCAGAGCGTGTCCATATACTTTTCAATTTTTAAGCAATGTTTTCTGTGAAATGTTCCTTTTTGTCAAGCTGCAGACTATTTTCACTAGAATGCCTGGACGCTAGAAAGCCAGCACGCTACTTTAAACTGCTCTCTAGAAATAAAGCATTTAAGATTAACAGAAATCAAAGTGTACAGTGCATGGCTCACTCTGGAGCTTTAAAAATGTTCTGTCCCTCCAGCACCCTCAAACCTTCTGTTACACTCACTCCACTGTTTAGCATGAAAATAACAATTTGATGAAAGATTATGGGTTAACAGCACATTATTAACCAGTCATCAAACTTCAGAACCTAAAAATGGGTCAGAAAGGAGGAAGATGCCGGTAGACCATGGAAACATTTATGTAAGTATTCTGCTCCTCTGTGGTTTATTGATCAAACATATCCACCTTAATGAAATACTAAGAAAGAAAAATAACTATAAAATAAAAGGAGTGGTGATTCTCAGAAGTACAACTCTGTCTTCGGTTGAAGGAATAACGCCTTCATTTTGTCCTCACCACAGCATTAACTTGAAAGGCAGATGAGTAAGAACATTTCTCCAAGATCCATTTTGTCTTGTTTTCCAACTGATGACCCCTACAGATAGCAGCAACAGCATTTTCCCCTTTCTGTTTTCCCATTTTGTGTTACAAACCACTCAAATAAAGCAAAGCATTAATGAGAAGATGAAAAAACATTTGAGCCCATAAACTGAAAGATCAACAAGTCTGATTTTATTACGATATTGTATTCTTTTCTGGATGGCACATAATTACAAAGAAACATTTACAATATATTTTCAAGTATTAAGTTATGTCATTTCAAGGCTTCCACTTCAAAAAGCTACATTAATAATACACCATACAGATAGTACAGTCGGTTAGAGTTTCAAATAACTTCCTCCCCTCTATTTGGTTTAAATATGATTCAGTAGGCACTAGAAATGCCTGCAGCCACTTACTTTCTTGGGACTCGACCTTGTTCTTGTACTGGTATACCTCCTTTTGCATGTCAGAAATCAGTTACTCTCAGACACAGCTCACAGGTAGTTTCATGACTAGAGAGATGTGCAGGTTCACAACAGAGACCACAACTACGTCCCTGACCCCTACCATTTAGCAGTGATGCAAAAAGAAAGAATGCATATTTAATTTAACTTAAAAAACACTTCTACACTGAAGTAACTGTAAAAATACCATTGTAACATCCCAAACTTAGCATTTCTCTTTTCATCAAGCACGTTAAACTTCAGAATCAAGCATGTTCATGAAGTCTGAGCTAGGCAGATCGAGCCTAGGTTGACTCTAATTCGATTATTTCCATTTTGCGTACCAGTCAGTACAGGTCTTGATGGTTAACTCTGATTCCTGTAGTACTGGTATAACCCATCAATTACAGCAGGTTACACAGTTTAAGACTGAAACTTTGAACAGTCCTGTTGATGCCACCACAGAGGTGTAAGGTAACACATATCCCACTAAGTCTTTTTTGTGCTGGCAATATACCCTGAACAGTTGGAATTCTGCATACAGTGGAGTAAAACCTGTTTGATAGGATATTCTCTTTTAAAAAAAACATCTTAGATGACAGTAAATGAACCCAGCATTCAACCTTTTCTTTTTTTTTAAAAAACCAAAGACAGCAAAAGCCCTGTTACCTCTTTATTCTCATTTCTTATACTACCTTTTAAAATAAAGCAGGAAATGTGGCCAGCAGCTGGTCCCGTCTCTTCTGCCCCAACACAGCTGAATCCACTTTAGCATAAAGAAAAACAAGGATGCTAAATACACATATACTTTATCACACAGTGATGTTTCACAAAGAAAAATCAAACTCCTTTTATACTGATGAACATGTGATAGGGTCTAGCACCAATAAAGCAAATGACTGGGAGAAAATGCTTTCACCTTCTACTTAGCCTTAAACGCAAAATTTAAGGCTTTAAGAAACAAGACTTCAGAAACACTACATAGAATCTTTTTTTTAAAGAATAAATGAAACCGTTTTAGGAAAGTCTATTCTTTGTGAAACCTCACTTTACATATTATAATTTTCACAATCCTTCTTCCCCCAACTGACATACATATAAACAACCTAAACATCATAATACAACTGAAAAAACAACCCACTCATCTTTCGTGATAGGGAGAAACACTGACTAGTACAAGAAAACACACGCTACTGTTTGTCAAACTATTTTTCCTCCTATCTCACTTAATTATGGAGCGTTTTTTCAAATTATGAGCCTCAAGATACATATTTACTCATCTCCAAACTGTGCTTAATTATATAAAGTTATAGATTTCTGGATACTGTAAGAGGCTAAATTAAGAACTCTACAGTAAAATTAAGCACATGCATATACATGCAATACCTTTAAAATTTAAAGCTACTCTGAAGTAACATAGGAATTTCAGTGTGCATGGGCACAGAGATTTACTGATGGGAGAATAAAGTAACAAGTTACTTCGATGCACTGCATTCTTGAAACCACAATTCTTGTTAGAGGTCCATGCAAAAAAGTGACTCCTCTACGTAAGGATTCCACTGTACAGATATAACCAGTGTTCAGGTTCTGTTTAATCAGGCAAAGCTCCGCATCATGAATTAGAGTAAGCTAGAGAAGCACTTTTTAAAGGTACCGTGCATCCTAACACTAGACAGTATTTTAAACCAACAGGTCACAAATTCTTTTTTTTTTCTACTTAAAAAGCAATTTACTTACACTTTTGGGACAGTCCCCTATGATAAAAGGCTGTAAATGTCACATCCCTCTTATCAGCATATTTTCCCTTTTCAGCTCATCAGATACTTAGTTTAATAGAAAATTCCTATTTCAAATGGCACAAGCATTTATTTTTTAATTAAAAAAGTACCTCATGTATTGGCTACTATGTGCATACTCATATAAAAAATGAAAAGAGGAAAATAGCTAATTAGAACGATGCAATTGTAATTGTCACTATTAGTTATCATCCAGAGATAGAAACATTCTGGCAGAGCAGGCCAAGGACCAGAGAAATCATTTCCTGAACCAGTCATTACAAAAGACTGGCATAAGCAAAGCAAGCTGTCTGATACCGCATTATGGGAATATATTGATCCTTACCAGGTTGCGAGGTGGAAAACGACTGTTCTTTAACCCCTACACAACGGAGCCTGGCAGGGCAAGCACCTAAAAGAGAAACTGTCAGAGAGGTTTTAATAGTAATGTATAACTGAGATGCAGTACAATTTTATATGCATGCTTTCTTTTGCCGATCATTACTATTTTCTTAAGTCTGTCCAGTGACGATGTCTTAATGAAGTTTTTGGTTTGGTTTTCTAAGCAAGCATTTTCGGCTCCTCAGGATAAGCAGGCTAGACATTATCTGACTCAAGATCGGGTAGTCAGTGTTATCTTTACTGGCAACTGTGAAGTGGAACCGAGCACACCTTCATGCATCAGGTCGGCATGATCTTTTCACCCAAGTGCTGCAAACGGGCTCTGGCGGCACCTCTGCGTGTGTATGCGCGTGTCAGTTTGCACGATAATTATCGCACTGCTGTACACAGCTTTGCACGACTCTTACACCAAACAGGCTCAGATCACTACCGTCCACACGCCAGATTTACATGACCTTTAACCAAGGCTGCCATCTGGCTCCCAATGTGCCGTTCAAGAGAATTATTTTTTTTGTTACCCTGGCCACTTAAGCGCCAGGTTCCCCTCCTCTGCATCTCCCCCAATACCACCCCATCAACCACTGTATTTATTCTTTTCCTCCACACCATCGCCTGCTTCCTCCGCCACGACGCGAGGCCCCTAGGGGCGAGAACCCCACGAGTACTTGCAGCAGGTACTTGACCCTACATTTTGAAGGAGGCCGCTGCCCGCCGAGCACAGATGGAGCAGAACTCCACCGACACCTGATCCCGGTCCACGTGGAGGCAGATCCCGCCGGGGGCCGCCCACTCCTCCTCCGTCTCCG